ACTTAATCTGGGCGGAGACCTTCTCAATATCAGCTGAAACGGAGACAGAGAAAACATGGCGAAGCACGTTTTTAGCTGACTTCTTGTGCTTACATCTGCGGGCCAATCTGATGGCCCGTGGCAGAATCTTGGAGAGCTCTGCCGTCACTCGGCGAATAGGGCGGTCGTAGAAGGTGGCGGTGGTGTCCCGGCGGGCGAGGGAGAGAAGATGCTCTATCAGTTGAGTGGTGTGAAGAGCAAGTTCAGAGCATTCAGATTTGAAGGACTCAGCTTCTTTGGCTGATAAGACAAGCCTGTTGGATAACTTGATTTTCAGAGAGAGGTCTTCTTGGATGGAGATTTCCTCTTCTTCAGTAGCCATGGGAATGAACGAATGAGAATAATTGGGAAAGTTGGGATCGAATTCTTGGGGAGAATTTGGGTTCGATAAAGGTGGATGCTTCGGTTAGTGTAGTGTGGCAGAGTAGTAGAAGTAGGATTCTTGAAGAAAATGAAGAAAGAAAGAAATGAAGAAAGAAAGAATTTTGGTTTGTTTTGGTGTTTTGTGATGTGAGAGCATGGGGAATGTGAACTCGCTTCGAGCTTAGGAGGAGCAGAGAATTAGAATAATAATAAATAAATAATAACTGCTAAAAATATTAGTCAAGATTCCACTAGGATATTAATTAATACTACCTATTTTATTAGTATTAATTAATACTGGATTAATATAAGATTAAGAGGGCAGAAATACCAAGCAGGACTTTGGAGAATGGAGAGGACAGGAGCAGACTGACTTTTGTTTCATTATTTGCACCATAATTTATTAAAAAAAAAAAAAAAAACCTCACTTGGGTCCATGTGGAAAGCTTTTTTTTTCCCCTTTAACAGGATAGGGTTTACTACTCTGAACACTGCGAAGAAATTTTTCATGCAATCTTGAACTATTTTTAGTTTGGAAGATTGATCGGTTATGTTTGGATTGCATTTTTCTGGATTTTTTGTAGAAAAATTACTGTAGTGATTTGATATATACGAGGTAAAAATGTGATTGAGAAATATATTCACGGAAAACGTAGCAATTGTTCTTTCCAAACAAGGTATTTAAATGAATAGTGGAAAGGTTATACCATTAGAACTATTTATTGTATTTCCTCTAGAAGATTTTGTTGGAATCATATCTTTTTGTTTTTTTTTAGCTCAAACAAAAAAAAAAGAGTTTAGGCAGAAAGAAGATTAACTACTTATTCATTTTGCTTTTGGTAATAATTAACTACTTAGTCATAGAGAGTCATCTTTGACAAGGGCAAATTTCTATGCTTAATGAAATCATGAAAAAGAATGTTCTTCTCTTCTCCTTTTGACTGTTTTGGATGAATGAAGTAAGGGGTATCCAAGGGAATTATTCCTAAAGATTAAACAATAATTAATGTTCAACCTGAGTGTAATCTTTGGAATCCTTTTGCCCTTTAATAATTATTCTAATGCCACTCTAATCACAATTCACAATACCTAAAGACAAAAGTCTGGTGATATCATATAAGGTGTCAAGTTTCATTTATTCATGCATGACTGGCCTAGCTAATATTAGAATGATTGTGGTCGGAGTTTTATTTTATTTTATTTTTGAAAGTGGAGGATAAAGATATGTTAATAAGGGAATTTTCTTTTCATGCTTATCACAAAAGGTAAAATATTTAAACAAACCTGCTGGTTTTCCTTAAAAGGTGAATTATTACCCATCTCAATCTGAAATATGACAAAATATTTGTGACACTTTCCGTGATACTTTTGTCCCAATGGATGGATAGAGCACCAACCTGGCAACAAGCACATTGGAATAAAATAGTACTGCATCATCTATGTATTGATTTAAATGATGGGTTTTTCCGGTGGGTGTCGCTAGTGCACTCGTTAACATAACTAATATTCATCTAATCTATTATATATATATATATATATATACACGTACTAATAATTATTATTTTTTCTTATATTTATATATTTTTCGTATTTAATCTTGCCGACCCTCCTTTATATTTATTTAATAACCCTAATTAATCTCATATTTTCAAAAATATAACACCTAAAATATATATTAACGAGTGCCTATAAAATAGACGGTTAAATAATAAATATTGACAACCAAATCCAATATATCAATATCGAAATAGATTAGTGCAACCGTGTTGCACGCGGATCAATGCAACTAATCACGAGCAACTAATCCGTGTTCCACTACATCTGTGTGATTTGGCGAAGAAGGCAAAGAATAATTTCAAAAATTAAAGGGAAAAGAAAAGTGGTCGGCTATCTTGCTTCTTCGTATCATGATAAATGTTTGAGTATCGAAAAATTTGGACCTGATAACAACGAAAGTCATTAAAGGTCGAAGAATAAGTGTCTGGTAGGACAAAATTGGTATTCTCTAATGATGAATTACTTGTGTAGTTAATAGATATTGACTTCCAACAATATCGAACTCTTAGGTGATTAACTAGCAAAAAAAAAAAAAAAATTATCAAATGGGTAATGAAATGAACCCAGATGACAGTTTCTAAAAGGAGCTCGAAACTGCAAGGATGGCAGATATTTTTTTTCCCGGAAATGAGACTATAATGCTATATCCTTTTGTAGTATGGGAAACATGTTGGAAAGTTCTGGGTATAAATGCAGCAATGATCCAATGGAAGAAGAGCGACATATAATAATACGACTTATGGGGCCATGGGACCAATGGTGTTCGAAGTTTGTGGTGGACAATGGTCAACTTCACTATTTTTTTTCCCCAACTTTGATTGTGCATTTCCATGGGAATAGACAATTGTATGATCTAAAGTCTAAACTGTCTTTGCTTAAGCCTGTAATTTGGACTTTGACAGGCCTAAGCTTGCAGAAATCAATCTTGAACTTCTAGATTGGAGCTAAATACATCCATCCAGGGCTAAATATAAATGTTGGGCTAATCTATTTATGCTGTAGATGCATGATAAGTGAACAACTTATCACTTATTTTTAAAAATAAATTTTATTTAAAAAATTCAGCGACACTTAATTAATTCAAATGTTCAATTTTCTGTTATCAAATGCGTTTGTGGATATTGAGATCGGAATCCATTAACTTTAAGTATTAGACTGGATTATTAAACAGAAACTAGACCATGTATTAGTCTAAATATCCGAGCAAATTAGAGTATATTCATTACTACACGTATATTTTAGGACTTCTACTTTACTACAATGTCAAAGAACGCGACAGTTTTGATGATTAGTTGAAAAATGTTTTTCGATGCCAAAATCTCCCTATAGTTTGGTACAAGATTTGACCAATTCCGCATGAAGGTCAGCATCTTTTTCCTATTCTTTACGTTTTGTTTTGTTTTTCTAAAAAAATTTGAACAGAGGACGAAAGAAGAAAGAAAAATGCAAGTCCGCACAGAGTTTGGACGGAGGAGGACGAAGGAACAAAGAAAGGCCTTGGAAAATGGCGAAGAAATGCGAATCAAACTTCCACCTGCTTACGAGAAAGTTTGGGAACTTGTCAAACTTGCCACAAGAATAGGCCCAATAATAACAACCTCTCTATCAAAACATTGACCACCTTCACATCAACTGTATAATTCCAGTCAACACAATTAGCTCTTTTGTTGTACACAATTCCACGCTGTGCAAGGCACAGCTTGGGCCCATCTAAAATATTATTTAAAATATATATAATTACATTTTTATTTAGAAAAATTGCAGCAATATAAGAATTAAATATATGGCAAATATAGATTCAACATGATAGTGTTTCTGTTTAGCATTGCTAATTCGAAACATTAGCCCAAAAATAAGACAGTCCTAAGTTAAAAATTAACTGAAAAAAGAAAGCATGAAAATTTTTTTTTGTAAAATTAATTCTAACAAATACATACACCTTCACATGTCCTTATTTGAAAATATAATAATAACATGACAACATGTGTCAATAGCGTTAGAAAAAAATAACTCATTCAACTTTATATAATAATAATAACTCATTCAACTGCATTACAAGAATAATAATGCTGCAACTTTATATACCAAACATAGTTTAATGTATTTTCACTTGATTTGCTCGAAAAAGAATCTATTCAACAAAAAAGTTACTCAAGATCATAACATGAGGGGTAAATTTTGATCAATGAAAATGTTCCCAAGAAAAAATTCACGTAAAAAGTTAGATTCTAAGTAACAACAACTATTGAACTGCAATTTTTTTTCTCTCCATCTCACATCTCAACCGTTACTTTCTTCCGCTATTTCTTATACCTTTTTCTTATTAAAATCTTTAGAAGATTTACCTTACCTAGTATCTATGTTCTTAGTTCCCTATCCTCCTTTCACCCATATTTATCTCACAGATTAGTTAATTCAAAAAAAAAAAAAAGGTTTGCAATTGTAGAGGAAGGGGAAAAGTGATAAACATGAAATGTTTTTGAAGGCGCAAGAATTATGATACTCTGATTTTTTTGTGGGAAATGTTTGTTGGGGGGGGGGTGTCAAAATCTACAGTAGACAGCAAAGGTATTTAAAAATTTTTGTGGGGCGGGCAAAATCGGCCCTTGCAAAAGAGCAATGTCCAGACAAGTTGATCATTAACTTAATACAATGTGCTTCACTACAACCCGTTGAAAACTGCTGAAAATGTCATTTTACGAATAGAACAAATTGCAAAGCGTGAGATACATCAAGACTAAGTGCATAAAGAGAGAATATAGATTACAAAACACGCAGGGGACAAGGGTACGGGATCACGTGAAATAGCTTCGGATACGAATTTTCAACTTTCATCTAGATTCTTTGAATTTGGTAAAGATATAGAACCAAATGTTTATCGTCAAGCAAGCATTTTATTCATTGCTAAAACCTCAGAAGCCGTTTGAAATATATGCACCAACTACCCAAGCTGATACCTAACTACGTAGTCGACTCGATACTGCCATTGAATTCTGAGTTGGGAAAGGATCTGAAGTAGTCAGACTTCATATAGAACGCTTAAAAACAAAATCACACAAGATTCCAACTCTTTAAATCATTCAAATCTCCACAGTACGAAGACAGGAAAATAATATCCTGGTTTATATAAAATTCAAACTCTTGGACTTCACAGCACAACCTGCAAATTCCTATGCAACAAGGACAAACCAAGCAGGCCAAGGGAACTAGCGAAAGGTAAACAGCAGTTTTTTGGCTCAGAATCTCAAGAAAACAGTACACAATCCATTGCGTTCAGCAGTACTTAAAACCATAGCGAAAACTTAACTGTATTCCAAACAATAGCTTCTAAGCGAGGAGTGACAGGACAGGACTGTCACTCTGCAGCATAGCCATGAGGAACTGTTTCATACAGAAAGAAGTATTCCTCAGAGTTTGGCCACTAGACCAGTTGGGATTGGCTTTGCTAGGCTGCTCTCTTTGACATCGTTATCTTTGCCATCCATCTCGCATGCACCAGGTGGAACATCGACCGCAGGAGAGCAGTTAAAAAACCCGTGTGGCTGCATATAAAATGAGCAGTATTTCTTGGTTTAGAGCATGCTTCTATATATAAAGGTATAGAATGAGATGACTGAGCAGATATTTTGTCATCAGGAAAGTTGTTCATAGATTAAAAGAATATTTTACCATGTGATGTAAACAAAGACATCACAAACCTCTTGTATAGTTTCTTAACATCTTTACCTTAAAATGCTCTACAGACAAGCAGATATCAATAAAAGGCTTAAACTACTGCAAATTATTTTCATACACAACTTATGATAAGCATATTCTGAAATTCCTCTTTTGTTGCAAAGGCACTATAAATTCTAAAATGAACATTGAAAGTACAATCAAAGAAATGGAAAAGAAAAAAGAGTACTATTAGAGCATGAGCTTTTCTCTTTAATGAGAAAGCAATGTTGATAGACTATAGTAGAGTGAAAACCAAAACTCACAATCAGCACAGAGAGAGAGAGAGAGAGAGAGAACATGTGCAGACTGGTCTATGAAATTTAGTCACACAGCTTTTTATTCCATCCTATAGACCTGTTTGGAATTTCCTTCACATTTCATGACTATTTACATACCTATATATGCCAAGAAGATGAGAAATATGGAACAATTTATCCTGAAGAATGTAATATCCTAAACCCACCATTTTGTTTAGCAAGTGCAAAGGATTATCTACTCTGCAACATAAAGAAGACAGCACAAATCTCCAGATTGTAGCGCCTTAGTTTGTAAATCATATTAAGATGTTTTGTTAGCTATCAGATTTAGCACTTCTCAGATCAGGCTAGGCCTCTCCACCTGAGCTGGGCGGCAGGCCCCTGGATGCGCTAATTGATTGTAGCATGAAAACTGCGATTAATCTAGAATCTAGTTTCTAATGTAGGAAGAATGTCCTGGAGTGTATTTTCTCGTCATAGTAACTGAAAAACTGTACAAGTTTATCATTATGATATTATGGATGTGGACCATGATGACGGTTAGCAGATGCCATAAGAGTCTCATAGATCAATAAAATATCCTACAAAAAAAAAGGAAAAAAAAAACCAAAAAGCATATTCAGAAAGCAAACCTGAAGCAAAAAACCAATGCGCTCGACAGGCATAACAGGCCAATCTTCCAAACGTGGAACATGTGTGATACCAAAAACGTACCGGCAAGAACACAGTAGTTTAAGTGCTGAATTCACCAAAGAAGTATCGAATTCAAAAGCTAAAACCAATCCCACTGTACATCTGATTAATTCCTTGAGCCAATATCAAACACTTCCATTCACTCTTTTAATTAAACACACACACACACACACACACACACTATCTACTATAAAGCATTATAAATAAGCACCTATAAAAGACAACAAATTACCTATTCTAAGAAAAAGTAGAGTCTCAGAACTCTGAAATGACATTGTCTATCCAAATCAACAATTTGTAAAGGTCTAAGGTAAAAGGGGTGGAAGCAATAAATCACTTCATTTACACTGCATTTTATCTCAATAAGTAGAAGAAAATTCCGTTATCTCAACGAAAACACAATAATAAAGCTATCAACAGCTATTGTAGGATGGTCCTCATAATAAAAAAAAGTCTACTATCCCAAGTTCTTCAAAAGTATAAGAAACACTAACCACAGAACAATATCAGTTTCTTCAAGAGAACGATTTTGCTTAACCCATGAATCCAATCCCTCACCAACACGTGGGTTCTGATTAGGAAACTCTCCTCCAGGAAAGTCCTCTCCACGTGCATATTGTGTAACCCATAGATTGTGCTTCAAAAATGCAGCTCTTCTCAGGAATTTAGCCTCAGGACCAGCCATTGGCAGACAGTTTGAACCAGGTACTAATTTGTAACCAGTGAGTTGCCCAGTCCTATTCACTGTTCTCGTGTTCCTGATCTACAATATGGGGATATAATACAAACTAGTGAACAACAAATTTTTTTGGGCCTAGCTTCAAAAAGATAAAGAAAGTATTCATAATAGCTATCCTACATTTGACTCATTTCTTTTCAGGAAGGACAGGAAAAAGGAGCGTTTTAGGGTACCGGAGTTGGTTTGCTAGAAAGACAGTTTGAAGGCGTGTCTTTATTTGGACTCATGAAAAAGAGGAGGATAACTTGTCTTATGAAGACTAGTTAGTTACATCACAATCAAATCAGTGATATCATACTATCCAAATGCCAAAATATCTGGAACCAAATAAAGAGAGCAATTACATGAATAAAAACTCACTAAACCAATTACTTGAATAAAAAGCTCAGCCAAACCATTAAAAACATCATAAACTGCCCAGAAAGCCATAATTGCAGTTAGCACTCAAAAGATCACACTCTAAACAAAAAGCACAAGAAAAATGAAGCCATAGCTATTGGAAGACACGCATGACTATGCTGGTAAAAGCAATGTCAGGAATAATTTCCACAGCGGAACAGCTGCCCCACCCCCAATCCCTCCCCAAAACCCAGAAAAAAATAATCCAACAAGAATAACCATTTTTTCTAAATATTTAAGGTTTATCATATGTCTAAATATTTTTAAGATGACTTCCTTTAAAATGCTGTTTAAAAGGTACAAACAGGCTTAGACACTTACAATCCAATGGCGGGCAGAGAAAGGATCAATATCTCGCATTGCTTCTAGTTCAGATCTGAGTAAAGTTTCTTCAGCATAAAATGCATTGTTGTGCACATTATCTTTCCCAGGTTCTTCAACTCTGACATTTACTTCAACAACCTAAATAGAAAGATGAAAATTGTCAAAGTGGATCATGATCTAGGCAAGCAAAATGGCTGGCACATATACTCATGGATCACCTTCCAGCGTCAGGGTAAAACTTTAATTGGGTTTTAATCAAATTAAAACTTCACCTAACCAAAAAGAGTGAAACAAGTCAGGAGCAAATGGGCCACGCAACCATGTAAGTTCTCAAAAGTTAATCAAAGTTCTGTCTTTCTCCAACTAATACCTGATTGTGGGCTTCTCCAGGCTTGCAGTCAACTGCCATATCCATGCGAGCAACAAAAAAGTGTTGATGAACAGGAGCATACAAACCTGGAGCAATTGTTGTGCCATATTTTCGAGATTCTCCTGGTTGCAGTGCTCCTAAACTAAGAATTCCAGTGAGTTTAACTTCTGCTTCAATTTTTCCATCCTGCAGCCACAAAAAACAGCCCAATGAAGCAAAAAGAAGGACCATCATTTAGACATATAACAAAAAAGCATTGCAAAATAAGAGATAGTGGTCTAGCTAATGAAAGAGCAAGCAGCTGCAAGCCAATAAATCTTCATGCATCAAGCAGCACTTAGAGCATATTCAAATTACTCATACATCAGAGACCAAATCACAATCGCCAGTCAGTCAAAGAAGCCAAGGTTGCTTTGGGCTGAGAAACTCATGTAAGTATAGAATCATTTCCCACCAAAGCATCAGCTGAAAATTATAACTGTGAGAGCAGATATCCTGTTTAGACCTTAATGACCACCCTCCAACCCCGCCCTAGGCCTTCCTCTCTCAATGCATGTCCACAACAAAGTACTCCTTTTTCTGGGAATCCCTAAATATCTCCTTGCTTTTGTATACTATTAATCTCTAAATCTTTCTATCATCAATACAGTTCTCTTTTTTTCTCCATCTTCATCTCTTTCTCTCAAATTGTGAGTGAATAGGCCTCTAAAGTTACCTACGACTACTGTCCAGTGTCTTCTCCTTCACAAACTCAGGATAGGAATACATTTTCAGCCCCAATGAAGTCGTGGATTTTCTTTCACGAAGAATAGATTGGATTGGCTTCGTGTTTATCACAAATTCAGACCCACTATTTCTGATATTAACTTCTACGAATTCAAACACTACACAATATGTCAGACCCTCATAATGGACGCAATGCTCTTACCTGATAAAAATGCCAATAAAATCCATACTCATAATTAGCTACTGTGCAAATAAAAGAAACTGTGAGGCGTCTAGATCTTCGAACTTCTGCCAGTCCGGTTCTCCAATCCTGATGCTTCCATAAGATCCCATGATCTTCTTCATGCAAGCAAACACAATTTTCAATGGTTTCAACACCTCCAGTGAAATTTGTAAAATGGGCATCGAAGTACTTAATAAATCCTAAGCAATCACATCCCTGAAGTACAAAAATATTGTCATGGATTAGCATTTATTACGAAGAAGATCTAACATCAGATCTTTTAATAAGGTGAAAAAGGCAGAAAAGTTCTCCAAACCTTTTTCAGAGAATGAGCATTTTTCCCAAGGCCATCTTCCCCAGCATCAAATGCATTCTTTCTGTAATGTGGATCATTTGGATCCCCATATGGCACAACCATCTCCACAAAACTCAACCTATGGGCTATGGGTCTTCTACCACGACTACCATCAACATATGCAACAGAATGTATAACTAACCCCTCTCTAGGAGTGAAACCAACACGAAAGTTCCACTGCACATTGAAACAAGATATCATGCTATTATCACATCCAGGTGAAGCAAAATCAATTTCAGACCCAAGAATATAGTAAATACAAGAAATACCTTTTGCCATTCTACATAGTGTCCATTTACGCGAAAACTTGGACCCTCAGGCTGATTGATATGTAGGGGTTTCACATCACTCCGGTCAACTCCTCCTCTTGTCTCACCAGGAGTATAATTCCTTAGTGGATCAGCAGGAGGTAAGGGAACAAGTTTACGGTCTTCAAATTCAACGACCACCATATTTTGCATATCAACAAGTACATGAATTCCTTCAACAGGTCGTGCATAACCATTTTCCATTGGACAGTCACTCTCCGTTCTACAAAATATTAGCGGTTTTGCAAGTCTGCGTCCAGGAGCATCAGCTTCACTGTGATAACCAACACACCTGGAGAAACCATATTCAAGAAATTTAAGAGGTAAACTTTCCAGATTGTTGCCCAAAAGAAAAACATTTATGTAGATATTTAACTAACCAAGCATCGACCATCACAAGATCCATATCATCAATCCCCCTCTTCTTCATTGCTTCCACAAATGGAGGATAATCTTTTACAACAGCTTCGCATTCAGCATATTCCACTGCATCCTATAGAGTTAACAAAACAAATTAAACAAGCAGACATTTTCCTTATGAAATTTTAATAAGATTTCAAGCAAACTCATCCCTACTTTAAATGCTTCAATATTTAAATTCAACAGAATCAAGCGTTTAGGATGTACTGAAACACAACAATTTTCTTTTCATATTGTGTGACCTCTAAGCTTAAAACTAACGTTAAATTGCATCTGTCCATTTAATTTAATCATCTCAGAAGTGTATGGAAGTTGGCCACAAAAGCAACACAACAAAGGAGTTACAACATTCAAAAGACAAAATCACTTACCAAAGGTTTTGGAAATATGTCACAGAATGCATATAATCCATAAAAGATGGAATAATAACATTCTATGCAATGCGTGTAATCATTTCAATGTCCAAAACTGAAGCATAGTGCACAAATTTAACAGAGCAAAAGCTTTCAGGCTCATTTCAGATGATCTCTTTTCACATTTAGATTCCCACGTAATGATCCCCGACTTTCGAAACATAAAATAAACTAACAAAAACATAAGTCAAAGCTAATCTATAATATGACAATTGCTGAAAGATTTTTGCTTTATGTTCATGATGCATTTCTAGCATCAATTCCGCACATGGTTTTGTTTAGATGCTGCTGAATTACAAATATCAAGTTCCATTCAACATTTAGCACCCATATAACTCATTCAGTATACTAAAATGTAAGATGTTCAGTTCATGCTGTATACAACTCAAAGACCGAACTATACACCCAAATTATGCCTAACTAACACAACAAATGTCTCATTTAGGTAAAGATATCAATGACACAGTTGCCATAAGGGTTAGCTTCATCCTAAGGTTCAGCTTTTTATATTATTCTTCCATGAATAATAACGTTTCAATTGTTTTTTTTTAATTTCCTATATATTAACTCATAGGATGTACTAATCAAAAGGCACAATAAAGAAACAAAACTGAAAGCATTTATACTTTCACATAATATGTTCTTCACTGATAGTAATTCATTTGATAGTTGTTCAAACAGCAACACATGATGAAGACCATATAACATCACATGCAAAATTAAGGTTATACCATTGGTGGCTGAACATCTGGGACAACTGCTGAAGAGATGACCTTTCCCCTATGGTGTCCACCTCGAGTTGTTGCATGTACCTGAGTGAGCTGAACAATCCATAAACTTGTCTCATTAGATTTTTTATTGTAGACAACAAGTCTAGCCCGCCTTGGTGGGAGCTTACTGGGAATTGCAGGCCCTCCTTTGGTTCTGGGAAGTAATGATGGCTGGAAAGGGGGGAAGAAATATGCATCTGCCAGTGCAACAACATTTTTTTCTGGTTCCAACAGTACAACTTCAATAAATCGCATACCATCTCTAACCTGAAATCAACTCGAACAATAACTAAATGACATAGAAAATAAGTTGTGATACTAGCTACAAAGGAAATTCAAACAGGAGAATCCAAAAAAGGTAATAAAGAGAGAACTATAAGATTCTCTGAGCACCTCAGGGGTTGCACCAGCAGCACGGACGGTTGCTACAGCCACAGAGATCTCTGCAGCAGTTAAAGGATCCAAAGGATGGCAGGTTTGAGCCCTTTGCAAAAGCTGAATCCCTGCACACGCGCATCATTAATGAAATTACAGCATAGGACAAGATAGTTAAGAACAGTATACCCAGGGATGACTGTAGAACATCCAAATTCAAAATCCTGGGCAGCAAAGACAGAACAAGGGTTTTGCACATTGAGCCAACAATCCTATGAGTTGGTTAATTAGCATCTGGCACCCCCAACAGCATGCTAACTCTCCCAATTACAACATGAATAGCTGAAACTTTGAGCACCAAAATCTTGGCAAAAATATGTAAAAAGCTTTCAGAAGTCACAGAACAAATAATAGTCTCAATAGGACCAATTAACAACCAAACTAACCATAAATCAACTCTAGTATTCACTATTTTCTACAGGACTTTGGCAACATAATGCCAATAGCACACTTGCAATCTCAAGCCAAGGTCCATCCTTTAGACGCCTCAAATTTCAAAAACTTTTCTCCAATTTAGTGAGTTAACAAAAACTGACAAACAACTAGAGTGTCTTGAACATCCCTTGCCAGCCCCCCCCCCACACGGCACAGATCCCAAGGAAAGTTTTAATTAAACCCAACTATAGAGTGGTCATTGAAGTATGACATGTATACAAATTTATTTCTCAATACAGCTAATAGTAAATTATTTCAGCATAGTTCAATAAATTGCTGGCTCAATTTGTGTCTTGGGTGCTTTTTTCTATATCAATGTGTTAAATGAAACTTCAAATACTTTGTTGCATTACTGTACATATTAAGATCATAGAGAGACTACACCTACTGGTTTTGTAGTTCATCCTGCCAGTAAAAAGGAAAAGGAAAAGGAAAAAGGACACAAGAGCACACAAATTAGACACAATTAATAAATCAGATAAACATATATTAGTTCAAAAATGAATATTATACCATGCATAAGAACAATAATCATGGCCAAATCAAATAAAGGTGTATTACAAGGCAGAAACTTTAAATTCAAACTTCGATAGCCCCAGTTTCTCTACCACTGTTTCTGAAAAATTTTAAAATATTCACTTAGAATCCACCGGTGACTCCTGATTCATATAAACAAGTTCTATTTACGAAGTCTTGATCTAGAATCTTCAAACTTTTGAAAAATTGTTGCAGTTTATGAAATTATCACTGGAAAACCCAGAGCTAACGAAACTGCAGGGAGACAATTCAACTAAAGAAAACATTTTGCCTGGTGCTTTACTTCGAATCACTAACCAATAAAGTTCTCCACTCATTTGATGCACAAATCATTCATGCAACCAATTGAATGATTAACAAAAAGTAGAAATTGACATTTCAACTTCACTGCCACGGGATTAAAGATCTAAGCGTAAAATCAATCGCGTCATCCTTGTCGTACAACTTGAATATATGTATAAATACGTATACACCCAGATACATCCACAAATATTAAAAGATGACGTATATATGCACGCATATAATCTTTGTCGGCTGTATTTACCTTTGTTGGAGGCATTTGACGCCGGCTCAGAGCGAACCACAGATGCCACCTGTTTCTTCCCCGTATGATCATCATTCCAGTCCTGCAACGCCGAGGCTACGGCTGCGGCCTCCCGGCGAACGAGGACGGAGGAAGCACCGGCGGCCACGGAGGAAGTCGGAGACGGAGGCGTCGCCTTTTGCGTAACTGCGGCCATTGTAACTGATTCGCTAACTCTCCCAATCCAAATCCACCGCAAAAATGTCTATAACAATAATCTACTGACATACAGCACCTCCTCCTCTCCTTACCAAAATTTCCACCGCCGACGCCACCACCACCGCCACCGCTTCCTCAGCCGATATACCTCTGTGTCTGTGAGTGAGTGTGTGTGATTTGACGGAATAAAAAAAAAACTCAAAATGCTCCAACACCTAGGGCTTTTCCGCTCTGATCAACAATGCGTGCTTTAGTGCGTGTTTTGTGTGTGAGAGAGAGAGAGAGAGAGAGAGAGTTCCCGCAGGCCAGTGATACACTTGGAGAGAGAAAGCGGACGGTGTATTTATAAGAGAGAAAAGATGAAATAAAGAGGGTAGGGACACGTGAGGGCGGGGGGAAGGGCTTTTTTGAAAATCAATTAGGAGATTATGGGGTTTTTTATAGATTATGTTTTTAGAGTAAAAATTTACGGGGTCTTATCGGAGGCCGGTGAGATAAGCGAACGGCGTAATGACTGATAGGACAATCTGCTTTGCTAATACATGCAGTAGCTAAGTGGAGTTTTACAGCAAAATATTTGTTGATATTTAGGTGATAAGGACTAAACTTTTGGACATTACTGTTGGGAACTGTTTTTTGGATTGTTTTGCATTGAGGGGTTTGGATTGATTTTTTTTTTTTGATTGATTTTTTTATCTTGCATATAAACTCCACATCCTTTTTTCTTTTTCAAAGATTTCTGAATTCTTGTGCAAAACGAAAGAAATGACAAATAGCATTAAAAAATTGCAATCCTGATTAAGATTTGAAACTAATCAACCATATCAAACAAAAACAGAAAAAGATAGATTAGGACTTCTGATAAGGACAAAAGTTTTGGTTATGACTACCGTCTCTAAGGATTAGATGGTTGGGTTAGCTACGTTTCCTCCGACTTGGAACTCATATAGTTTGATATCACAAATGGGTGCAGGATAAAAGGTCATTTGGATTAATTTTTTCAAGGCATACGGTAAAATTTTTTATGATATAATATATGTGAAATAAATATGTGATTAAGAAAATGAATAGATTTTGATGGTAGTTGACGAGAAAGTATAAATGCGAGTCTCGAATTAAAAATAAAAAAAAGCAACTGAAATTTGAAAAGGTAAAATAGTGATCGAAAAACTTGATCGTCTAATCAAATAAACTAAACATACTTGCATCTGAAGGCTAAATATTTGTACCTTGAAGGTGTAGGTGAAATAGGTGTAGAGATGTCAAACTCTTACAGTGGACCCATACCCCTTGTTGTGTGTGCTTGTCTTATGTGCCTTTTGGTCAGGGTACATAATGATTTTAGATTTTTAATTGTAAGCTTGACAAAATACATGAATGATTGGAATTGTAAGCTTATCAAAGAGATTTGACTTTGCAGTATAGTTAGTTCAGCGCTAATCAAGAATTCCCAAGGAGTTCCAAGAATTATTATTGTTATACATTTGTTCCAACCCTCAATCCTCTTTCGTATATTCATCAATATTGAATCAATCGAACGCACTTCTAATATTTATTCGACTTTTGAAAGACCCTGCGTTATATTATCATATCTCGATTTTTTATATATAAATGTAACTAATATATCTCCCTCGTAAAGGATTTCCTCATAATAGCCATGCACAGTTGCTCCACACACTACTCCTATTTTTATCTATATTATGGAAGGGTTCAACTATAAAGGATTAAAGGGAGAAAAATCCACCAAGATAAAAAAAAAATGTGCACTCCTGTACTCCCTTTGAGTTTTTGTGAACTCACACAAGCTTAATGTCTTTACTAAAATAGAGGTTAATTATCCTTTTTTTTTTTGCAAGTGGGAGGTTAATTACCTAGTTATTTCCTTGCAAATCAACTTAATTCCTCTTTTGAGACAAGTATTAGTAGAATCTCCTTAAATTTAGCAATATTTGATATAAGCACTTTTTTTTTTGTTTAATTACAAGGTATAAACTTTGAAGTATTTGTTAGTAAATTTTTGGTGCTTAAAAATAAAAAGATGAATTGTGGGAGTTATATTGCTTTTATAATTTTAAATGAAAGAGTCATGGAAATTTTAATCATTTCAATATAAATTTGACTTTGATTGTGGATATGCATTAATAAATCTCTTACCATTTTGTACATAAGTTACAATTTGCATCATGCATCATCATTAAACAAAACCTATTGTACATTGTCTATGAATATGTATTTTTTTCTAAATTAAAATTCCTCTTTTTTCTTTTTGAAATCCTATTCTATTACATGAAGGGGTGTTGGAAAAGGAAAAATTCTATTCTAGGACTCAAGAGTTCAAGCCGCTTAGTTCACTATTCGTTGCTCAAAAATTCCTATGCACAAAACATAAGGTGTAGGAGAGGTTTCCTTTCTGCTGATTGTGCAAATCAAAGATAAAAAAACCAGCTTGAGCAGCACAACTATATATCTTGAGTAGGACAATTACGTCTAACCATTGGGCAATGGCTCAGTGGCCACCGGGGAGAGTCTTAAGTACCTCCTTGAGTTGTAGGTGAGGGTTTAAACTCCACCTGTAGCGAAAAAAATCTAAAGGTTGTATCAGAACACTCTCTTGGTCTAGTTGGATCTGTATACCCACTAGTCCCCTACCACAGCCTCCTTAGGCTCCCCTCCCCCTAGATTAGGATAGAGTAGGTTGTACAAATGTATCGTTGTTGAAAAAAAAAAAAAAAAAAAGAGCAGGACAATTACGTCTGCAAAACCGAGGCATCGTGACATTTAATATCAAATTTTAAAATTTGTCAAGGCACAAGTCATTTTAAATAAAGCGCCTCTCAATAATGCAGACTCTACTCCGTTATACTATATATTAATTCACTAACAAAAATCATGGAATCCAGCTTTCAACAAGAATGTCTGGGTGTTTCTTCTCATGAATTCTTTATACCGTCAAGTTGAGTTCATAAGTTCACCAGTAATTTGTTTAATAAGAAACATGTGAAGATCTGACCACCCCTTACTACAAAAATACCTTTCCAAGTTTCTATGTTTCAACTGGCAGTATATATATAATTGGCAGAGTCTAATCCTGAGACCCGTGTAATCCAAGACAATCCAACTCAGCAACATTTGTCTCCTAGATGCCAGTTTATTCCTAAATCAAATCCAATGTATTCTTGTTTATTAACAAAATTGTTAATGCTGAATCAATACTGTGTAGGCATACACATAAAATAATTGCACTGAGAAAAAAGTATGACAACTTGCAAGTACCATTCCAGGACGGTCCTTGTTGTGTACTTGGGTTTTTGTATTTATCCAAATCCAACAAATGAGATTCCTTCATTTGTGACCACATGTTCTTGGATTCCATCTCAATTATTGAACCCTCTACAGACAGATACAAGGTGTCACGGAACTTTTTGCTTGTAAGGTCACAAGATATCTGTCTACGTCTACATAAATTGCACAAGAGATTTTTAGTAGAGGTGGGTAATTATCCGCTAGCTCGCAAATTTACTATATTCAATTCGAAAATTAGGATACCCAATTTGTATAATTTGATCGCGTTAAAAGAGGGTCGAGTACCCGCTAAGATGTGGGGCGAATTAGAATTACATAATTAAAAACTCGCGAGTACTCGACTAGCCCTACATATATATTTTTTTATTTTTATACATATACTAGAAAATAATATTTTTAGAACTAAATAAATAATTTCATTGAATAAATTGCATTATAAATATGAGAGACTATAGCTTATTTACAAGATTCATTTGTAGAGGTCATGATCTTATGTTTTATAGAAAATATTTTAATTAATGTGGAACATATATTTTAAAAAATGAGCTGCTTATTTCAAACTTTTATTGATTTTGATTTCTTTTAATTTTTTTTCCTTTATCTTGTATTCTCTTTGCATGCTTATTTCTTGGTGGAAGACATTTTTGAGAAAAAAATATTTATTAAATCTTAGATGAATGTGTAAAATATAAAATTAAATTAGTATAATTTTTTTTAAAAAAAAATTAAATGATAAGTGGGGGAGGAATTGGGTACCCGTTAACCCAACCCTATCTCAGTGGTACCCTATAATTGGGTACCTGTTGATATGCGGGACTAGTAAGGGTCAGAAAATGATTGACCCGAATGGTGCGAGTCGAATCAGCCAAATGATAAATGGGATGGGTACTCGACCCGCGCCCATCTTTAACTTTTAGGATGATCAAGTTATGGTTAATTTCACTTTACACCCTTTAACTATACCTAAATTTTTACTTTACCTAAATAATACCTAAAAATGGAATACTTTAGTCCCTAAACTATAAAATTTGTCTCGCTTAAGTAGCATTATTAAGTAAACAAGACAGACTTTATGCCTAAGAGGGTATACTTTAGGGACTAAATTGGAATAAATTTTATACTTTAATGACTAAAATGGATAAATCCTATATTTTAGGGATTAAGTACAAGAAATTTTATAATTTAGGGACTCAAATGTCTCATTTTGAAATTTATGAACCAAAGTGAAATTTTGGTATACTTAAATGGTGGAAAGTGGAATTAATCCCAAGTTATGATGCTTCCAACTTTTTTTTAATAGAATTTTGAATTATTAAATATCTCTCCATGCCTTTTGAATTAAAAATATAAGAAGTGACTCCACTAATATAAAAATCTAGTTTGAAGTTTCTTTGTGAAAGGGTAAATAAAGATGAAACAAAAGTTCTACTAAAAGTTAGAAAGTAAATAACAATACTTTACCCTTTAACTCAATAATCATAACTAAAAGGGCAAATTATATAAAAAAAAAGGAATAATATTCATTGGTAATGGATTTAAAAAATGAATAATGGTACTATTCTTGAAACCTAAATTTTGAAATCACTAAATTAAAATAAAGTCCTATTGGCCCTTCAAAGTGGAAATTTTTATTTACAAACTTTATTTTTGATAAAAAATTAATGAAAATAACACCAGTCCTACCAAAAATAAAGAATAAGTAGTAACAAATAACTAACACATGGTGCTTTTACTTTGAAAATACAAAGCAAGTATATTTTGAAAGTGTTAAGTAAAACTGCAAGTTGTGAGAATTTTTTCTTTTGCTTTGAAATTGAACTCTTCAATTTAGAAGTTGAAATATAAATCCGCGCATAGCATGGGTCAGAACGCTAGTTCATAATAATTAGAGACAACTTAATAATACTACAAATTGTCATATAAATGATGGAATGATTAAGAATATACATTAAGAAAAATGATTGTAGTTGCATTTCAGATGCTATAGCTTGAAAAGTTAAAATTAGGCCTGTCAACG